TTCTAGAGAGTGTTGAATTTCTTCTATAGCGAGATGCTTTTGCTCCTCTGGCAACTTTTCATCTTCTCATTTATCTTACATTTTGTCTAGAAAAGCGCCCAATACCAGTTTTTTCAACCTTAGAAGTCAACACCGTTTCTAAAATGGTCGCCGATTCTCACTTACTATGGAAACTAAGGCGTATCACACCTCGAAAGGGTGTAACCAAGAGCTAGTACTAGAAACTGGAAACAAGTGGAAGTGGAGAAGACTTCGCGGAAACTAAGAATGTCAATATGCATTGATTTTGTACAGTTTCGTCATTACACTAAAAAAATGTACATATATTGCATTGACATACAGTTCACAGTTAATACCTTTAAGGTCAGCCTCACATTTTTAAGTAATGTGTTAGTACTTGTGGTATTGACCATCCCAGATGAAAAAATTTACAAAAACCGGATAAATTTCGTGGACTGAGTATATTGAATACTTATTGCGTACCATCATAAAATGTATTGGTTCAAATCGTGAATTGAATAAGGCACTATTTGAAATATGAGGCATATTCTAAGGACCTGATACATACGCGCTTACGAGTATATGGATGCCCTAAGCTACATCCACTCTAATTTACTCACTTATTTGCTCTTATACACATTGTATGTGATTTCCTTTATATTTTGTCATAGTTCCAAACTTTATTCTGAAGTATTTGAATTGGTCTTGGGCAGGTAAGGATTGGGTCTCTTCCTTATATAACTCAAAATAGGTGATCTGTAGTTATCTCCAATTAGTGTGTTGAATCGTGGTTGAAATTAAGCCAAATTCAGTACACGAAATTTGGTACCCGAAAGTTACGTTCACTGGGCTATGCGATCATCAAAAATCGATAAACCATCGATGATCGTACCGATATTTGATTTTCTGGTCAGTGCAACCGTGTGAGATTAGAAATTGATTGATAACGATGATATGACAGAACAAAAAGTTTGTGTATGCATGAATAGCAATAAGTAACTGCATTACGTGAGAAAGGTCAACGATACCTACCGAAATTATTTTCCATATACAATGCAGGCGCCGTTTGGGAGTATGTATTTTTTAAAAGTTGAATTTTGAAGCTGTTAAAGAGTACCTTATAAACTTACTTGTAGAATATAAAATCACCAAGCTTAAAAATGGTCAACTGTGAGGCTATCAAAGTTGAGCGTTTTTGTACATTTGATGGCTTATAGCTCAACAGCCAATCATCAAAGAGCTCTACTACCAATCTCTTAGGAGGCTCTATATATATATATACAGGGTGACTTTGAAGTTGAGTCATTAATTTTCAGATAATGATTGTAGAAGGAAGATAAACCAAAATATGTGTGTAAAAATAAAAAAAAATTAAAAAAAAATGTTTACCTTGTTTTGTAAAGTATCCTCCCGACAAGTATTTCAGTGCGGACCTCTATTTGATCGTGAGGTCCCCTGTGAGGTCTTAAGTCACCTGATTCACGAGCCCGTTGTACTACATTAACAAAGGCACGAGGGATTGGTTGCACTCGATTGGGAAACCGATCCGCATAAACATGTGCCATTTTTATATTTCGTTTGAGCCACTCAACAGACACTATTCACACGCGTAACCGACTGACACTGACTGTATGTATAACTGAACTGAATAAAATAATTGTAAAAACATCGTTCCAAATTCTTTCGCTTTTTTGTTTCCGATGCGATGAACCGATAAGGCGGATTATATCCGTTGTTGCCAAACACGAGCACATGATATTATTATTGAGACAGGGCGGTACTCAAACTTCCAAAGGGCTATAACTTTGTTACTTTAATTTTACCAGAAAAATGGTAAAGGAAAAAACATTTCTTTTGATCAGATCTACTCACTGTTAAAATAAATGACTCAACTTCGAAGTCACCCTGTATATATATATGATGTAGTCTACAAATACGCTCAACTTTGATAGGCTGCCATTTTGAAAGATAGTTACTTTATATTCTAGGATTATCAAGCAATCAATATGAGCTTCAAAATAGGACATATTACACGACGAAATAGACAACGTAAAGCAAACAAGCGGGAAGGTTTGATCTACTGAGAGATTCAATATGTGGTGCGCAAATAGCTGAACTACTGGGCTCTATATGCGAAACGTATCTACCCATTTCTCTGAAAGGAATCAACAGTTACAGGCTAATATCTCTAAATTTAAACAAAAGGATCATTTTTCGTGAAGTGAGTGAACTGAAGGAAATAACCCTGTTAGGCCTAAATTGGTGTACTCCAATTTTGACGAAGTCGGTGACCCGAACAAAAAAGGAGTAATTGGATGGCTCCTTTGGGTATGCTTATAGCAATTAATTCAAGACCCAGACGCTATCATGATAAGGAGTTACCCTCCAGTCGCAAAAACTTTTTAATAAAACGGTCATCTTACCCTAATTACTAGGGCTCCTTTTATTTCCACTTGGACCGTTTTCCTATAATATTTGCAACGTACGGGAAGGTAAGAGTACAACCTCAATGTAAGACGAAATAAATGAATTGTTCGAAAAGGACGGACGCTAGCTGTGTGAATAGCTTTTGTGAAAGCCTAGTAGGAATTTATACATTTTTGAAAATCGGTGGGAATTTACAGAAAGACAATACTTCCAAGCTTCGTTTCTTTCTCATTTGAAGGTCCAAAGTCTTAACTTGAAGGAGAAAGCTCGTTGAATTTGTACCATTTTCAAGGTTGATATCATGCTGGCACACACATGACAAAACTTAGAACATTTTAAACTAGTGTACATGCAGCAAGAAAAGGTCTATTGGAACTGTACCTTAGTTCGCGTCGAAGGCCAAGTCATCTGTGTTGCCAAGCGTGTACAGATGTTTAATGCTTACTGGTAATCATCGGCACGATCTAGGCTGGTCTCTAGATAGGAAAACGATCAAAAGCGAGGCAAAGTATCCTCTGTCGGAAGGTCTATTCAAATACAGTTCCAACAGATAGCTGCTATACCCTCTCGCAATGAAGAAGCCTAGATCGTGCTGGTAATTACCAATAAGCACGAAACAGCTGCTCACGGTTGGACCTATGTATATTAGATTAATATACGAAAGCATTTTTATAAGGAATTACTGTAATATGAAAGTTATAAAAAATTGAAATAAATATCATTTTGAACAGCTTACAGCCCTTACTGCTAGTTTTTTAAACTGCATAATCCAGCAGCGCTGAAAGGTTTTGGATAGATATTAAGTTATCTCAGGTCCTTGAATTCGTAAACTGGTTTTGAGCGTAACATTCTTGTTGAGTGTTCCAATTTTATTTAGAACTTTAGCACTTTCTCATATTAAGTCATTTTTTACATGAATCAGTTTCTGTGAAAAATCCTCTCCTCATTTTATCAAATTACTGGAATTTCTTTTATCTCATTTGTGACGAAACTTTTCCCTGCATTATGAGCAATAAGGATGTCATTTTAGAAGATTTGTCATTTACTGTATGCTTACATCCAACACAATTTTAGATTCCTAAAGAATCTCATAAACATGAGCGAAAGCTCAAAGTATAAAGAGGCGTCCACTGTGCTCAAAGTCTAAGACTTTAAAACAGTCTACAACTTCCAATATTTCACTGTTATAGTTTCAACCAGTCTGCCATAACTATCAGTCACTGTTTAAACTTTCCCAAATGGATTTTTCAAAGCTGCATGTATTTATAGCCCCAAATGGGACTTAAGTTATTCATAGTTAACCCGAGCAATTAATCCTTTCTGTCTTTCTTTCTCTTTTGTTTATCAGAACTAAGCAAATTCTTAACCACCCTAGCTCAGCTATTAGGTTTTGCTTAAACTTTATTTTCTAATGTTATCTGTTATTTTCTTTTTATAATGAGGCACTGGCTCCGAGCAAGACGTTTTCTTCTTCCACAACAAATTGGTCTGATTTTTTTGAATAATTGGCGGGCAGAAAAACGCGAAGTGTGTAGGTTCGTTACCGACGTGATAAATTTTCGCGGATTTTTCTTTTAACTGCTCCACGCCAGTCTATTTTGTTGCCCTTTAGGGCGTTTTTGCTGAAGAGTAATTGCTTTGCCAGGCGGGGAAGGCAGCATGCGGCAGATTAAACAGACAGTAGACAATCCCAGCAATCTGAATCGTTGACATGTCTGCATTATTTTCTTTCTCTGCTTGACGACAGCCGGGGGATATTTAAATGAAGTTCGAGTGTATATTTTCCTGCCACAAAAGGAGGGACTGATGCAGAAATAGTAAATTCTTCGCATATTAACTCTAAATGAGCGGGAAGCTTTGACTGTTACAATCCTGTCTTAAATAATTGCTGTTGATGTTACTTGCTTCTTTGAGCTTTCCTACTACAGCTGAAGAGTATGTGGATAGCCGCAGGGTTTATCGAATTTGATATAACAAGCTTATTATTTGCTATTGTAACCTCTTCACGACGAAAATGTCACTCATTTTCGTCGATCGGTCTGACAGCGGAACTGCTGAACCTATTTTGGTAAAATCTAGAATAAGCTAGCGTAGGTACATCTTAAAATTCCTTTTTGTATTTGTTTAAGTTAGGCATAATCAAAATTAGGAGGGCTCAAGCTGGAAAACCTACCTTTGTCGATTTTACAAAATCGAGCTTTTTTCAATACTGTCAGAGTATTTCTATTTCAAAGCAGTATGAAGCATTTTTCAGCTATATCAACAAATTCCTCCTGCTTCATCATTTTTTGGAAGTTGTGGTGACTTCATCGGAATTTATGATACTCTTAGATAGCTCCCAAATGTTCAAAACCTGTATTACCAACGATATTGTTTAGTATCTCCTGACCTTGATTCCTTCTCAATATTGTAATTTTTCAATTATTTTAGAGCTTCAACATACTAAAATGTCAGTATTGAAAAAATTGTTACTGTTAGAAAAGTAGACACTACAAATTATTAATGATTTACTGAATCGAGTGTGCGATAAAACTGCACTTGATCTAATCTAATCAAGAGAATTTCGTATATTATTTAAACTATAATAATGTCAAACTAATAATAGATCATCTCTGTGAATTGAATTGTACCAATCGCAATTTGTATCCAATCTAGCAGTACCAAGGGTTTGTGGAACATCAAAGGTAACTATAAGCCTTTATTAATACGAATATCATACCTCGATATACTATACTGCGGAACACTTTGTAAGAAGACGTCTTCCTAACGGAGCAATTCAGACACGATCGTTGCATAGTCATTACATGCTTTGATTTGTGTATTTGGAAGAGGCGACCGAGCTGGACGAAACGGTAGAAAAAAATTTAGGCCAACATTAACTCATGATCCCTTATGATCATCAAAAGTTACACCTTGAGCTTTTTAAGCTTTCAATCAGATTCGATTTCTTTGCAGTTTTTTCATAAAGGACTCCACTCCGCTCAACAAATCTCCATGTTGCCAAAGAGAAATAACTGACTATACTTTGAGGACGGCCTTGATTAACAATTGAAAACGGAGGTTTACAATTAACAATACCCCTTAACGTTATTTAAGATTTAGTAAATGGATGTTTGAAAAACATTCAGAAGCTATGACAACATTACAATTTCATTTTTTTAATATTGTTTTTTGGCGTCCAAACGGTACGCTTAGTAATTTTTCAAAAATTAAATCGCTGATATCGGGATAACTATCAACTTTAGCTAAAGATTCATCACAATATTTTTTCCAGAATGGCTCATAAAAGCCTGTAGCAGAAAAAAACATTTTGGAATTTGATTAAAAAAGTTATTTAGAGTTTTCACGCAGTTTTAGGCATGACAACATGCAGATTCGTTTAAAGGAGTCTTTGTTGAACAAGATTATGCAACCAACCGAGTCAGCATATTTTTCCAAGCAAATGCGACGATACTTCCTTTATTTACTGAGTATTGTGATGATCAAACTAAAATTTACTTTCCAGAAGACAGTCGTGATCCAACAGATATCGAGTCTTGCTCAATGGAGCAACTTGGAGAGATGGAAACTGAGGCACGAAGACGCCTGAGCCTCTGTCGGCCTCACTTACAGAGACTGCGAAGCCTTTTGGAAATGAATAACACCGTAGATGACCCTTCTCCTAAAGAATGTATGATCGAAGCTTACAAATACCTGCGACATTGCGAAAAATTGGTAGATAAGTACAAAGAGCGGAAGAATAGCGAACTAGAGGATGAATATATCAGCAAGATCGATTCAGCTCTGAAAGCGTTAGAATTTGATTCAAATTCATTGACAATATTTAAAGACGGCTCAGGTGAAGGAACCCACCATATGTTTTTCAACTTCGAAAATACAGAGTTGTATAAGTTGTTACATGGAGAATCCAGACAAGGCTTAAAGAAGTTGATGGAGTCGATTGAACAAGACATACATATTCCTATGAAGAAGTTCCTGGAAAAATTGGAGATGGTTAATCTTAAGACATATTATACACTAACTGTGTAGAGACTACACTCAAACTTGAATAAACAGTACCTCAGTAGGCACCCTGTTTCTTGATAGGGGAGATTGAATACTTACAGGTTAGTAATTGGACATAGTTATAAATAGTTCATATATCCCTAAATTAGTAATAGACTCCAAGTATTCCAGTAAGAAATCCTTCAGTTTTTGCACATTATTTAGAAGGGGTCTTGTATTTATGTTAGTGAGGAATAATAAAAATCTAACTTAATAAGACTCCATTTTTGAGGTTCAACCTTTACTTCCTGAATTAATTACTAATAGCCTACTTAGTGTATGGGGTATATTTGATATGATTTTCTTTTTAATAATCATAATTGACATTTTAGCCTACTCATATTAGACGAAAATACCACTGATTTGCGAAATAATTGTAAAGTCTGGTTTTATTGCTGCAAGTTGTTCAATGGGGTATTCAAAACATGGACGCATAAAATAGGTACTTTTTATTCGACAACAAAGAATGAGAAAACGTGTTTTTTCGGATTCAATCGAAATTGTTTGCAAGAACGAAAAAACTCTCTAAATAACACGTTAAAAGATCCGGCTAATAGTAAAAGATTTATGGCCGAAAACCGAGGCAAACTGCAGGTGTTGGCACTGACGATGGATTCTCGCAGATATTTGAAATTCTTCAAATTCGTTGGATTCGTACTTCTAAATAACCACAACAAAATTGGAGTAGATTGGTCAAGTATTTTATGAGAATTTTATGAGCTCGCAGAGTCTACTTACAAATTGCACAAGGCTCATAGTCAGCGGTGTGAAGGAAGGTTAAAGTTAAGGAGCGCGGGGGGAGTTAAGCACGAATGTAAGGAAAGGAGTCAACATAGGCTTATGATTTTATAAATCAATGTAATAGAAAAAATGTATGAAATTACTGTAGAGCTATAGATTTATTCATCTATATGTGTAAATATAATGTGGGAAAATCCTGAGCATAACACCATTAACTCGAAAACTTTGACCTGTACTGTCAAAAAAGTAATCTTCTAGATTTTTTTCCGATAAAATGTCTAGGACGTGATCAGGATCGACAGCAATATCCCAGTGAATAGAGATTATAGCGATTGAACTCAATCTTTCATGGCCTATAACACTTCGCGGTAGAGTTTTAATTCTTTTCATAGTGGAAAATGATCTTTCTACGCTAGCTGATGTCACTGGCAAAGTGGCTAAGGTAGTTAGAAGTATACCGTGGAAATAATTTCCATTGCAATACTCCAACAGTTTTAAAACCTCGGTTGATTGATCAATGGACGATATCTTCGCACACCACAACCTATATTCTGCCTTCACTGCCGTTGATGATATCTTATCGTCGAAGTATGGCGCTAAGTTGTCTAACCAATCGGCTTTACTCACATTAGCAAATCCTGGGAGGAAAAGTTGGAAGCTAGGTAGGATATCTTTTTGAGAAATAGTTCTGTTAAATTTTCAACCAAGGAATCGATGCACGGTTGAAATACTGAAATTCTGAAATACGCTTCATATGATGCCGTTTGCGGTTTAGCACGGTTTTTTTGGCGTGAGACAACTCTCGGAGCTCGAATTTCAGTGGCGAATAAGTCTTCAGCAAGTTTTGAAGCAGACAAAAAGATTTTCTCAAAGAAATCATCAGCAGATTCTCTAATTTCACGCAAAGACGGTATTATTTCCTTTGTGCGGTTGATAGCGGAGACGAAATCCAAACACTTTTCTTGGAGAAACACACTTTTGGACGGTTTTTTGAAAAACTTTATTTGCATTCGAAGTGTTTCTAAATAGACTTATGATTTGACCAACGACTCCATGACAGTTGCGGATCATAGGGATTGACATTGCATTTGAAACAGCAAGATACAAACGATGACTCGCACAGTGATAGTACCTTGCAATATGATAGAATCGTTTTTTATTATTTTCTGAATTCCGCTCAAATGACCTGCTATGTCTGCGGCTCTATCGTATCCTTGTTCGACACACTTATTCATGTCCAGTTTCAACTGCTTACATCGCTGCAGAATAACGTTACTGAGATTCTCGGAACGTTGATCATCTATGGGGACAAGGCGATCAGAATCTTCTCTCAATACTGGAGTGTTCGGATCCTTCGTAAAATCAACATATCGCAAACATAGTGATAATTGCTCGGAGTCTGAAACATCCATTGTTTCATCTCCAAGAATATTGAAGAAATCAGTATTGTGAATTTTATTTATCATTTTTTCTGTAACGATATCTGAAGCTGTTTGTATTATTTCATTTTGCATTTGAGGGCTCAAATAAGTAGTGTTTTTTTGCACTGCTTGTGATGTGATGTGCTTTTCCAAAACTTCATCACCTGATTTAATTATAAAACGCAAAAGATCCCGAAACTTCCCATCTTTTTTTTCAGGCCTTTTTAAAGAGAAAGGACCACTATCATTATCTCCTCTCAGAGCTAATTCCTGTTCTCCGCAAAGAAGGACGTCTCAATAAACGCTTTGAGAGCTACCCTGTGCTCTTTTTTTTTGGCAAGTTGCAGAGTGGTTAGTGTAGGGATGATCGATGTTGGCAAATCATCGATAATGCCCTTGATGTTAACATCGACAACTAAACATCGATTTTCGATTTACATCGGGCACAAAACATCGCTGTTATCCAAGCATCGATGTTTATCACATGTGATGTAATGTAAGATGATTTGCGAAAATTTCAAAGTGGGCGACATTTCTGGATTAATAATAAAAGAATAATCAAGGTGAACAACAAATTAATATCCAATATTGTTGCGATAAAAGAAAATACCATAGGTACGAAAGACGTCTTTTTATAGTGGTAAATGAATATCCCTATTTCCCTACTAATATTATAAATGTGAAAGTATGTGTGTTTGTTTGTATGTTCCGCTTTCACGCCAAAACGGCTGAACCGATTTCGCTGAATTTTAGACAAATATAGACTAGACCTCAAGGACGGACATGCGCTAAAAATTTTTAACTATTTGTTTCATATATTTACATAATATGATTGAGATCACTTGAATTTTCTCAGTTTTTCTTTTATGTTTAAATGTGAAAAAATTTCTTTCGGAATTTCGGGGGGGGGGGCTTAAACCGCCTGAGCCCCACCCCTGGCTACGTGCCTGGTTAGTGCAAAGGGCATTTTATAGCAAAAACCTTGCCGATATGAATCGCAAACAATTCCGTAAGATAAATGTTATTTTTACGTTTTATCTTCTAAACAAATTCAATCATTTCGTGTTTGTGAGTAATTCGCAACAAAATATGATAGACACATCTGCTTTGTTTTAAAACGTGTATAGTAACGTTTGTTTTTTGAATATCGTAGAGCATTTGTTCAGTTACTCACAAATACGAAATGTTTGAATTTGTTTAGAAGAAAAAAACATAACCCTTGTTTTTCGCATAAAAATAACATTTATCTTCCTGAAAGGTTTCTGGTCCATATCGGCAAGGTGAGCCCGTGTATTTTGCTATCAAACTCTCATTTAACGAACCCTGTATATTTCTCAATAAAATAGTAGTCATGGCCGGAAAACAGGTATTTTGGGATAAACAATTAGAAATTTTCAAAAAACTACTTGACCAATATAATCCAATTTTGTTGTCGTTACTTAGAAGTACGAATCGTACGGATCTGAGGAATTTCAAGTAGCCACTTGAAATTGTCGTCGCATTAACACGTGCCAAAACCTGCACTTTTCCTGGTTTTTGCTATTAGTCGGATTTTCTTAGGTGTGGTCTCATTTTGTAGGTCACATAAATACCTAAAAATCTTGTATAAAAAAATGTTTCTTTCCTGCCAACTTTTTCGATTGAATCCCAAAAAACACGTTTTCTCATTCTTTGTTGTCAAATAAAAAGTTTTTCCACAAAAATTGGTGTACCCATCTTATGCGTTGATGTTTTAAATACCCCCTTGAACAACAAAACAACAAAACCACACTTAACAATTTTTTGAAAAATTTGCTAATATGTTTAGGCTATTTGAGCTAAGACGCTAACGATAACATACTTCACGAACTGGTGCGACGTCATTTTCACACAATGACATTATTACCTAAGATCGCCCAGTGTGAGCGGAATCATTAAAGAAAACAGGCTGGCATACACATTATCAGCGGCCACGCCCGATTACATGTTTTTTGTCGACATTGACATACTTATTTTCAGCGCATTTAAAACAGTTCACCTGTTTCGCATTACATAACAATGATGGCGTAGTGAGTGCGGTCTTGAGAAGGGCGCCTTATCCAGTATATCATGCATGATTTTTTCAACGGGTCACGGTAGATAGCTAAAATTGAAGATGATTCTTAAGTATTATTCTATCCTATAAGTGACAGTTGAAAATTTCAAGATGCGGCTGGACGCCATCTTGGAACATTCTTTCTACTGTAATGATGGATGCCGTGACAACTCATTTTGAAGCTCTGTATGGGTACTTCATAACTCTATAATGTATATTTACTGCCATTGATGGCGACGTCGCCAGCATCCATACCCAGACGATTATATTGACTTATACCCGCACCTCAGAGCCAGGCTAGGTCAAGTCCTGTTTTAACTAAAATGAGTTTTATAGGTATGTTAAGCTCATCAGAATATTGTGAATTTTCTTTTGCTACCGTTCGCATCCACCTACCTGTGATAATAAGGAAGTTATGACTTTATAAATCATGTTAAGTTACATTCAATACAATACAAGAAAAACACTTCAAAAGCAATTTTTCCAAAATTACTTATTTTGACTCATCCTAGTCTGCCTCTGAGGTACAGCTATGGAAGCTCCCTGACCTGGTGAACGTCTTGGGCCAGTTTAAATGGGTGGTCACTCCGTCGCTTACTACTGTCAACAAAAGTTGGTAGTGTCAACTTGTGCACTAGGTAGCCGCTAGTGTGCCACTAGTTCATTCCACGCCTACTACATGTGAGCATGAAGTGAACCTACATAATGTCAAAAAAATCTACATAATGTCATAAAGATCGATATATGGTTTGTTCGTACATTGGTCGGTGACTTGTTGGTGAGTGTGTCCGGGATCCGGCTGTGTGAATTTCGTCTAAATGGCGTAGCTGAATGACTAGAATTTGTGTGGCGGGAGCTTGGACACGATCACTGACAGGTTGAAGACAGCTGTACGAAGTGACAGGAAAAATGACACCCATTAATAATGAACTTATTACAAAGTCAATTGCGGAGCACTGATTTTTAGAGCATGCAAAGCCTATTACAATGCCAATTTTTTGTCGCCGAATCAACATTCTTGGACTTAATCCACATCATCCTTAGTTTGTCCTACTTCTCACTCCCAGGCACCGAACTGATTGACTGGCTTGATGCAGAAAACGCCTGAACCGAGACGTCCAATGGAATATCATTGCCTTTAGTGATGAATCGCGATTCTTTGTGGAATGCATGAAAGCGATGAGATGAAAGATGAGTTTCTCAATTTTCTGTGGAAATGCCTGTCCCTTCATTGTTGGAATCATGATAACAGGAGCTATTGCTTGTAGAAGCAACAAGATCATGCGCAACCACATATAGCCAGAATTTCGTTGATCCATTTTGAAGAAAATCATGTCATATTATTTTTTTAGGCATGCAAACATCGTAGAAATAAACATCGATGTATCGGTGAATAATTTTGCAGAGTTTAATGAGCTAGTGTAAATATAAGGAGGTTTTGGCCAGTGACTTTAAAGATCAGTTTCGTCAAACTTTTTTCAAAAAGAGAAGACATTTCTGTGAGTAATGCCTATGGTTAACGTTCAGTTTTCTGTTTTTCGGACTGCCTCCCTCTTGACCTAAAATTTAGATCCTCCACTATTCAAGCTACAAATCCCAGACCATCCAAGCATACAACAATATCAAAAATAACCAGAAACCACCAAACAACAATATCAGTTTAACATGCTGTGAAAATGTCAAAGCAAAAATGGCTATAAGAAGTTTGCGTACACACTAAAAGAAGTGCTCTTACATCGAACACATCTATATTGAATTGGGGGTAGTGACTATGATATGATTTGTTTCTTGAGCTCTAAAACATATTCCTTTGAACTGAGATGCATTCCTTAATTGTAAAAGTTTTATTTGAAGCAATGATATTGCCCCATTTCAAGTATCTATTGTCTCGAATCAACGTCATAATTTTACGAGAATAACATACATATATACTCTTGAAATCTATACGAAAGGAGAACCTTGTCGTGTATAGCGATATAATATACATATACAGCCTTTAGAATAATTTGAAAGATTGTTAACTTACACTTCACCAATAATTTGGAAAAAGCATAACCTAGTGGTTTCTTAGCATTCAGAATGATGTTCAGAGCTCCAGTCAATACATCTTATATTGTATTGAGAGGAGCTTCTCAAAGCTAAAGTTGATTAAGATCTACTTGAAAACAATGATCATCCAAGATGCCTTTCTAAACAGCCTATTTGCTCTATGAATTCTGTCAATTGAAGCGGAAATAGCGATTGGTGTTAGTTATAAATAAATCTCGAAGCAATTCAGTGAAGCTGAAAGCCGAAAAGTTCGTCTATTTCAATTCTTGTTTATTTGACTTTTGACATAATTTGATTATCAATGGAACGAATATACAAATATTAGTGTATAACTCAGCTCATTCAATTTACGGTCGTGTTTTTTGACTGGGAAATAGAAAGGGACTGTCAATGCTGATATCGCCAACGTCTATCGCCACCACTGCGTCTGGGACATTATAGGAAGAATATTACTCTGTTAACTTATCTTTCACATACTCCAGCGGCCCTTTGCCACGAGGTGCAATTAGCTTGAGATGAAATCGATCACATACCCAGACATGCTTCTAAGTGGATTAGGCATCATGGTGGCCCAACAAATTATTGATCTTTTGATTTTTTCAACAGTTGGTTTTTTCTTAAATTTTTATCATTTACTGACCTAATCCTAAGGCCCGATTTCAATAATCTGATCCGAAAAAAGCGCGGATGTCACAAATTAAACCGATAAGAAGGCTTCTTTAAGGTAGTGGATCTAATTTGGTCGATTTATTGTAAAATGTCTCTCAAACTAGAGAATAATTATATGGGTTGTGTAAGCTGGACCCCTAATTCCCAAATTAAATCAAGAAATACGTCATTTGTTTAGCTATAAAAACCTATTTTTTCATTTGAGTCCAGCCGCTGAATGAGGGCCGTGGTCATAAATTGCACCAATGAAAAAGAAGAATTTACGCCATGCTCGAAGCACGGATACAAATCTGATGCAATGTCTAGATTGACATGACGGCAATGAAATGAGCATTTTATTGAAAATAAGAGTATGTCACTGTTGCTGTACAAAATTTTGGTTGATAAAATATTTGAAGACATAAATGAAACTACAGAATGCTTATTCTCCAAAAAACATGGAGTAAATATTTAACTTGCTTGACTACCGTGCGAAAAAGTATATGCCTTAAGCCAGCCCTGTTAACAGGGCGCTCTCGCGCTCTCTACTGAGCAGTAGGACTACTTCTAGCTTTGTCACCGTCACCGCGTCTCGGTGTGGTCGCCTAGTCGTCCTACCGTCCAGTAGAGCGCGCATCTCCCTGTTAACAGTAACAAAGCTGACTTGAATAAAAGGATTTTTCACACGATAGTCAAGTAAATGCACCATTTACTGGATGTTTGTTAAGGAATACGCGTTCTGTAATTTTATCTATCTCTTCAAAGAATTTCTTCAGCAGAATTTTCTACAGAACAGTGACGCATATGAGGTTTGATCCATGTTTCGAGTAGGCTACAAATCCTTCGATGAATTTGCGATTATACGCAAATTCTTCTTTTTGATTGGTGGTGTTTACAACTTTTGTGTGCGGACGCAAACGAGAAAGTATTTCTTGATTTAATTTGCGAAACAGGAGCCCATCTTATACAAATCGTATAGTTTTTGTTTAGTTTGAGAGACATTTTACAAGAAAATTTATTAGATCCATTACTTCAAAGACGCGTTTTTATTGGCCAAATTTAGACTGAAGACGTAAACTTTTGATTCCCGCGGATCAATAGTAATATTGGGCAAATCCTATATGCACAGAAAAATTTAGTAATAAATTCATTATTACTGGGTGTTGCTTTTATGTCAGTTGGTATACAGGGTGTTTCAGTTTATTGTTGCATAACTTTAAGATTCGACAGAACTTTTGAAATTAATGCATAAGGTCTATATAAACGTGGGTCGAAAAATGTGTGGCTTCCGAAATAATATATAATATAATATATATAATAATAATTTACTTTCTAAAATAGTTTTTTTTAAATACATCGAACAATATTTGATGTATAACAGTGAAAATTGGTATACAAGGGTTTTTTGGTACGACAAAACGAACCATGGGCATAGTTTTACTGTAGCCGCTAAACGGCGCTCTCTACTGTACCTGTAGTGTATTAAAATGACCGAAAATTTTTTCTTAGTGCAATTTTTTGCTTTTTGAATAAAAAAACTGATTCTTCGCACTTTTCACCGTAAAAAAGCTCTCTTGTGGATTTTCGTTATAGTTAGCTGTTTTTGAGATATTTCGATTTTTAAGGTTCGATGCATTTTTAATTATTTATGATAAAATAACGTTAAAAAGTCAGTATCTCGATAATTTTTAGAAGTAGGCTGTGCCTGCAAATATTTTTGAAATTGAAAGCAGAATAAGGTTAAACGTCAATTAGTTGACAGTTAGTTTTGTTGTCTGTTGAAACCTGACACGTTTTTTTGCAATTGTGAATGCACGAAATTTAGTTTCTTTTACCTGTTTTTTTTTTGTAAGTTTTATAAAAATGCCATTTTTATTCTCCAATCAAGAGTTAGTGGATATTCATTTTGTGTATGGCTTTGTAAATGGAAACGAAGCAGAAGCAGCCGGAGAGTACGCACGAAGATTTCCAAACAGACGACATCCAACTCGCTCAGTATTTGTAAAAGTGCCTCGCCAAATAATTGAAAATGATTTTGGAAATCTCCAAAGGGATCAAAACATAAATGTTCGTCAGCGCAGATTTACCCGTATGATTCTGCGTGAGTTTGATAGAGATCCGACCACAAGTGTTAGGAGAGTTTCTGGTGCCTTAGGAATTTCAGCAAGCCATGTTCACCGTGTTCTTAGAAATGACCATAGACGTCCTTACCATTTGCAACCTGTGCAAGGACTACAGCCAGGGGACGGAGAACGAAGAATCACATTTTGTCAGTGGATTCTTGATAGAACTGATAATAATAGGGAGTTTTTAAGTAACGTTTCATGGACCGATGAGTCATGCTTCACTAGACGTGGAGTGGTAAATTTTCATAATCAACATATTTGGTCGTATGAAAATTCGCATGCAGTTCGGCAAAGAAATTTTCAGCATGAATTTAGTGTGAACGTGTGGATTGGTATATACCGTAATCGACTATTTGAGTCCTACCTTTTGCCTGCAAGGTTAAATGCTGCGACCTTCTTGGAATTTTTTAAGGCTGAACATGCAAATATGTGGGATGATGTTATGTTAGATTTAAGAAGATTGGCCTGGTTCCAGCTTGATGGTTGTCCAGCTCATTATTCGAGAATAGTTAGAAACTGGCTGGACGAAAATTATCCAGAAAGATGGATCGGCCGTGGAGGACCAGTCGCCTGGCCTCCACGATCCCCTGACCTAAATCCATTACATTTTTTTGTGTGGGGATTTCTGAAAGAAAAAGTGTACCAGACTCCCGTAACCACAAGAGATATGCTAATAGACAGAATCAGGAATGCATGTGATGGAATAAGGCCATATTTGAATAATGCTATGCCACGTTCGATCATTCGTAGATGTGAATTGTGTATTGAACAATTGGGTTTACATTTCGAGCAACTACTTTAGATTTTGTATGTATGTCCTAACTATCCAATAGCATTTTAGTTGTTAATAATTAATTTAATTTGTTAAAAATAATATTGGAAAATTAAACAAATTAATATTCTGTTTTTTGTGTTTATTTGGAGTTAGGAATTATTGCTGTGTTTAAAAACACAATCTAAACGATCATCTTAATTACTTGTAATGCCCAAATCGAAAATGTAAAAAAAATATTATTTTCCCATAAATAATTAAAAATGCATCGAACCCTAAAAATCGAAATATCTCAAAAACGGCTAACTATAACGAAAACTCACAGCAGAGCTTTTTATGTTGAAAAGTGTGAAGAATCAGTTTTTTTATTCAAAAAGCAAAAAATTGCACTAAGAAAAAATTGTCGGTCATTTTAATACACTACTGGTACAGTAGAGAGCGCCCTCTAGCGGCTACGGTAAAACTATGCCCATGGTTCGTTTTGTCGTACCAAAAAACCCTTGTATACCAATTTTCACTCTTATACATCGAATATTGATCGAAATATTAAAAAAAAACTATTTTAGTAAGTAAATTTAAACACCCTGTATTTCGGAAGCCACGCATTTTTCGACCCATGTTTATATAGACTTTTATGCATTAATTTTTAAAGTTCTATCGAATCTTAAAGTTGTGCAACAATAAACTGAAACACCCTGTATATTCAATTGACTTCAAGCAACCAGCATCAGAATGTCAATATACCTATAGCGAAACTGTCGATTGCCATCGCCTTCGACGTGCCACATGCCATGTATGCGAAGCACGCCTGTCCACTGCATGTTTGCTAATGGCACGTTAGTCAGCGCGGTTGCCGCGGCGATGCGCGAGCCGGTCAAGCTATAGCATCCTCCGTTGAAGTTATGTTGCGAGACAAGGACAAGTTATGTTCGATTTGTATTCACGACCAGCTTCGGCACATCGGCAGCCGCGAAGCTACGGTACGGTTGCATGCCGAATTAACACGGCAGCTGTGAAGGGCGCGTGGGGTTTGCCTTCATAACTGTCAATATGTCACAGCTGCGGCATTGGCGTATATCTACAGGGTTCGGCAGCATAATTTCAAAGCTTAATAAAACCCATTGTATGAATCAGAATATTTTTGTTTTTACAATGTAGGACTAGAGTCATGTGGGGTGACTGTACGCAGCGGGTAAGTGTCCGAAATGAACAACGTGCGAATACCACGGTTCACAACTTGTCGAAACCTGCCGCATTTAGTTCGCTGTTGACCGCCAAGCGAAAGTACTGCGTCACAGGCTTGCCGTACGGGGATGCGGATAATTATTAATTTCATTTGAAAATGTTACAATTAATCTAATTGTATATACAAAGTGACTGTGAACAGGAAAAATTAATCAATATTCTCTTAGTATTTGCGTGTTTTCTCTAAGGTAAGTCGTAGTTATTTTTTTCATAATTTTTGTTTGCTTTGACGGGATGGGGAAAGTATACGCGGGTAAGTATCCGCAGTATCAAAATGCGTATACTTACCCCTACTGAAGTAAATTCAAGATTTCAAGTATTATTTTTACGTTCTAGACCACTCGAAATCCATCTACTTCAAATTCTGTAGCTACAGTAGAAATTCAAGATAGGCAAAGTCATCGAGCTTTAGCTATTACATCTACTGCACAAGAATCAAGTGCTTCTACGTCTGCCGATTTGGCAGAAAGTTAAGAGATTTTGACTATTGCTGAAACGCATCGTCAACCAAGTGCATCACTGGCTGAACAACACGTCATTGTAACTATTGCTGAAGTGCATAAACAACAACAAAACAACAAAGTTCAACACTACCTAGCCAACGGAACATGGAAGCTGCAGCTGAAATTAACATAGCCAATGAACAATTACACGCACCTTCAGATCCAATGGACAAAATAGAAGAATTTCACCAGCAACATATTATTTCGCCCTCTATTTTTCGTAACATTTCCATAACCAGTCTCATATTTCCTTAATCGATATAAGCCCATTACCAAAGGCGATACACATTCAGACTCGACGCAAAAATCCTAGCAAGTCGGAAATAATCACCAATAGTCCTTTTAAAACTCAGTTGGAGGAGAAACAAAAACAAAATGATCAAAAATCTAAAAAGATTAGAATACCAAAGATAGACATGAAAACCAAAAGCAATCCAAAGAAGAAATATAATATTAAAAAGGATAAGGCTACAGATAAATCTTCGAAACAAGAATACTATTGTCCGTTATGTCGAGAAAAGTACGGAGATACGGCTGAAGTGTGGATTGAGTGTACAATTTGTAAATATTGGTGGCACGAAGCCTGTACCAGTTACGAGAGTGGCATATTTAGTTGTGATCTATGTGCAATGGGTTAAGTTTCTGTTGTGCGTACACTTAACCGAAGGCATGCGGACACTTTCCCACTGATGAGGGTAAGTGTCCGCGTTTCCCTTGTTGATTAAAAATTTCAGTTAAAATAACAATCCTTATTAGAATTAAAAATGTATGTTTTGTTTTTGTTTATAAAGCTTTGTTACATTAGATTCAACGTTGATTTTTTTTCAATTATCTAAAACTTTTATTCTGGAAGCAATTTACTAGAAATCGCGTACAGTTACCCCACATAACTCTATACCTAAATATTAATTCTACATGGTTTTGAAGATTAAATGAGATAGGTGGCGTGCCCCATTCTCCATACTCTGAGCAAACGGATTTCTGTCATAACTCTTTCCAGCACAGCAGGCGTTATGAAGGCAATTTCTTCCCGGATGTTGGTCTTCAAATCCTTGGAAGGTTCACATAAACGCGGAATTTCAAAAAAGCCCTTAGAAAAAATCACAAGAGGCCAAATCGGAAGAGCGCCACGCGTATTATGTGAAAAACCTAAAAAACGTAAAAAAACAATAAAATATCATCTTGCAGACTAGGTAGTTCTTAGGGTGCAAATGGTTTATTCCAAGTTTGCTCGCCATGACCGCTGTGAGCGTCCATCCATGGAGGAATGACTACACGCATTGTTGGTTGCATATGTTTTGTGAAGCCGAGCAGTTGAATAGCAAGATATTATTGGTGTGCATGTGTATAAATTTATGATATTCACTGTGTGAGAAAATTATTACTGAATGTGCTACCAATGAAGTATATACAGGGTGACTTTGAATTTGAGTCATTAATTTTCAGATAATGATTGTAGAAGGAAGATAAACCAAAATATGTGTGTAAAAATAAAAAAATAAATAAAAAAAAATGTTACCTTGTTTAATAAAGTATCGTCCCGACAAGTATTTCAGTGCGGACCTATATTTGATCGTGCGGTCTTGGAGCAGCATGCCCTGACCTGTGAGGTCTTAAGTCACCTGATTCACGAGCCCTTTGTACTACATTAACAAAGGCACGAGGGGTTGGTTGCACTCGATTGGGAAACCGATTCGCATACATCCGTGATGCATCCGGGAGAATTTTGTAAAGACTGCCCCCCCGTAAATAAGAATCATGTCCACAAGTTCAGCATTTTCGTAAACATGTGCCACTTTTGATTTCGTTTGAGCCACGCAACAAACACTACTATTCACTGACGAAAAACATCGTGATAAACGTTTCAAATTCTTTCGCTTTTTTGTTTCCGATGCGATGAACCGGTCAGGCGGATTATATCCGTTGTCGCCAAACACGAACATATTATTATTGAGACAGGGCGGTACTCAAACTTCCAAAGGGCTATAACTTTGTTACTTTAATTTTACCAGAAAAATGGTAAAGGAAAAAAGCATTTCTTTTGATCAGATCTACTCACTGTTAAAATAAATGACTCAACTTCGAAGTCACCCTGTATAGTAGCTGTGCCTCACGGGTTATTTATAAGTTGTCCTTTCTGAAGACAGGTTATTATCAAAGTTATAAATTACGATTTTTCCCGTTTTTCCGTGTTTTCAAAATCTTTGAGTTTTACTGGAAATAAGAAATAATATAATAACCTTTTCAGCAAATTAGCTTATGTAATTTGCTGAATGGATAAGAAAAAGTGAATCCGCAACTAATTTCTAGCTTTGAATCTCAAGCAAGTGTATTTGAGACAATAATCCAATGGAATTATCTTCAACACATATTATTAGCACACAAATCCTCACTATGCATCTATGCATTGCCGTTTCATTCCAGCTATAGTATACAACTTACAGCTTAGACCTCCAGTAATGCCATCTCTGACGCAGATTTCACATCACACAGAGCCAAACATTGATAACTGAAGCATCTTGACGTTTAGGCAACACGTACATCGTACAACTACAAAACGAGTTCACAACGTGTCCATCAGCTAGTGCTAAGTTAATATCTTGTAGAAAGACCTACATAGCGTCACAAAATACCAAAACAATGTAAAAAAAATAGCATAATGTCACTTTTCAAGATAGGCAATACCCGTGCCGATAACCCCCAAATTGCGATGACTCACTCAAAAGAGACATCGAAGTTATTGAGGTATTTGCCGTTACACCGTCTTGTTCAGGCCAAATGTGTCCTAACCCACGTCTTCTAGCGCTGGAAAAAATGCCTGTAACAAATTAGCATACCGGTTCAAACTAATTGTCACTGCGACTTCATTTTCCTCAAAGAACCAGGATCCAATAATTCCATAATTCCAGGTGAGGCAATTACACACTTATCTGCAGGCTTAGATGAATACAAAAACCTTTGATGCAATGCTCGAGGATTGGTGTCAGCCTAGTAGCACATGTTTTACTTGTTGACGGATCCACACACAAAAAAGAGTGCTCTTGATGCAAGAGCATGAGTTTTTATGAAATTATGATATTGATTCGAGACGACAGATACTTCAAATAAGGTAATTTTGTTATTTTAAAGAAACGTCGCACTTACAATTGAGAAATTGACCTTAATTCAAAGATATGTGTCTTAGAAACATATCGAAGTCACGGTTTCTCAATTGAAGATAGTTGTTCTTGAACCAAGATCACTCTTTTTTGTGTGCACACAAATGAAAATGAGCTTCGTCATTAAAAGAAACAATAGCGTCATTAGGCATTTCCAGAAGACGCTCATACGCGTTCATTCCGAAATTGAAGTCACGTTCAGTTCCATCATAATTTTCACCTTGTAAGGATGGAAATGAAGAACATCATCATAAAGAATTCTCCTGACAGAACGATCCGAAGGTCCTGGGGCGGACGCATGTTTGCGCCCAGAACAACGCCGTGGTAATCGCAACATTGAATCTCCCACTGCCTCAATATTTTCCAGCGATCTAATGGGCCGAGGGACTCCAGTTCTTCATCTTGTCATACTTTCAGTTTGTCTGAACTTAGTGGTCTACGTAACCAATGATTTTCGGTCAGGGCCAGGAGCCAGCAGAGCTAAATAGAACGCAGGATCACACAACATCTGCTCGAAAAGTCGGCTTCAACGGCAGAATCACGCTCATCACTATTTCAGCGCATGATGGTGACTCAACTGTGTCGGGACAAAACTTTATACTGTCGCCTCTCAAACGAGACAACTAGCGCTCTGCCACGACATCAACGGACTGAATGGCCCGCATTTTAGAAAAGGAAGTTATGCTGCTGCACCCTGTACTTGGGCTTAACGGGAACAAAATAATCACGCTGGAAAAGAAATACAATTCAACCATATTAGACGTTAACGTCGCCGTAGTACGAGTACTTTGGAGGAAAGGATAATGTTAAAAATAGGGAACAGACAGGTAAAACTCTTGTTAATGATCAGAAGTAGTCAATAGTTATTTACCTAACAAGCCGTCAAGGATGGAAAATACACTCACTTTCAACACGCTTCTGCGTTCAGAAAGTAGCACTTTGGTAGAAAAAAGTACTTATTATAGATCCGAAAAAGGTAGGCAAACCTAATGCGCCATCTCTAGACTACACTACACTACCTGTTGGATAATCAATTCTGCATAGAAATTCTAATAGTTTGAAACATTAATTGGCCATTGAATATACAAAACATTGGACATACTTACACAGAACTACTATTTCTGGTCAAAGTATAAAAATATACGTTTTCACATTTTTCGATGATATGAGCACTGTTATCCCAAAAATGTGCCAATTTGGAAACAAAAATACTCATTGTGAATCTGAAAAGTACCGGGAAATCTAATGCATGATACTTAGAGATACACTAATTATCCCCTATCGAATAATAAGGCCTTTATTCAATTCTGCAGAGAAATTCTGATAGTTCGAAGATAAATAATAGGTAATCCTCGGACAAATGATAGCAGAAAACATAGAATATACAAATGCAGAACTTCCCTAAATCGGAGAAGGGAAGTACTTGAAAAACATATGTTCACCTTTTTCAAAGATGTGAGTACCCTTATCTAAAAAATTCCTCCTCTAGGAACGAACGCCACCCTTTACTGACTAGAAGTAATCGAAAAAAACACTACTATAGACCCGAAAAGTGCCGAGAAATCTCATGCACCATCCCTAGAATAAACTGGTCACATTCTATCGAATAATGAAGGCTTTACCTAGTTTACACAGAAATTCAGATAGCTCCCAGATAAATAATTAATAATTCTAGCATAACTAACTTTATCTGAAGATATTGAATATACAAAATATATTGGGCGCATACAGAACTGCACCAAATAGGGGTTAGAAAGTAAGTTTCCACCTTTTTCAAAATATGTTCTTCTTCTTCTTCCTACTTTATTAATAGGCTCATGCCTGTTTTACGTCGGTGTTTAGCCTCAATTGATGTTGTCTGACCATCTTTTCCTCGGTCGTCCCATTGATCTTCTTCCATTTGGCGATTTGTCTCTTGCAATTCGTGCTGTTCTATTTTCTGTCACTCTTTCTATGTGTTGATTCCATTCTATTTTTCTTCTTTTGGTCCACATGTTAATTTCCTCTAGACCACATCTCGCTCGTATTTCCTCACTTCTTACACTGTCTCT